AATATCAACTGTGAAAACATTTTCTACTGATATTGAGCCTGCAGATTCGTCGAAGAAAAATAAAAATACTAAATCATCGTGTGAAACGTCATCGAGATTAAAAACGAAAGCCGTCGCCCAACATCCGTTGAAAAAGATCAAAGTTGGTGAACTTTGCTTTGCAAAGGTTCGTGGATATCCCGAATGGCCGGCGCTCGTAACAAAAATCGAAACCAATTTTGCGTGGGTCAAGTTTTTCAACTCTTCACAAAGGTATTTATCTTAATTATTAACAATCAAGTTGACTTAAACTTCCATATTAGGAGAATCTGAATTGACTTAAATCTGAATTTCTCTTTTTCAGCGGAAAGTGCTTCTTTGGAAAAATTTATGACCTGCATGAGTCTGTGCGATTTTTGGAAAAAAATGTGCAAAATTCACAATTACAAAAAGCAGTTAAAGAATTGGCAATAGTACTGCGCGAAAAGTTGAACGATAAAAAAAGATTTACATTGAAGAAAAATGTCATATCTCAATATTTGAGTTTGATTGAATAATTGTGATAAAGTTCGAACTAATTATAGTTATTCTTAAGACGTCATAAAATGTGAATATATATAAATATATATTAGTTTATATTAGTACAATGAAAAAAATGATTGGTTGTCTAAATGAAAAAGTAAGAAATTAAAATAACAACAAACATATATACTCGCTAAAAATAAAAAAAGTTGTGTGTTTTTTATTGCAAAATAAAAATGGCTTTTGTTGACGATTTTAAAATGCTGCATGAGTTCGATTTACATTTTCTCATATCGAGAATAACATATACTATATACTGTACGAATTTGATTATATATACAAAATATTTTATTTATTTCTTTGATATCACTTTTGATATGATTTTTTTGTAAAATGTTCATCGCAACGTCAAAACTAATATTTTTTCAAATTGAAAAATATACACTTATTTTAGTAAGCACAATAGAATTATTATCGTTCATTGTAATTTCGCTATACAAAAAATCTCTTTCGTTTTTCATTATTGAAAAGTCTTAGATTTTGATATGCATTGGAAGATGTTGATAATGTTATATTAATACAAATTACTGAGTTTATTCATGTAATTTTTAATGTGTTTGTGATCTCGGTACAATTTGTACCTGTGTTGGCCAACTATTACCAGATATCCAACCTGGCGGTAGCCCATACGAAACAATTTGTGGTTGAGCTCCTGAAGAAGATGGTAAAGACTGATTATGATGCTGTTTCTGAATGAATTGAGACAACTGATTTGGTGTTTCATTTACAAGCGTATATGTAGTGACACCATTTATAGTTTCTCCATTGACAGGGTACGCTATAATGTCTTCGTCTCCGTTTATGAGATTTTCTTCGATTGATTCAGTTTTTATTTGTGGTTTCAAGCGATATGCATATTTCAGAATTTTGTACGTTAAAATATGTTCATAACCTTTCCTATTTAACCGTTTGTCTGCCTTATTGCTCAGTATAAAAATCAAATCATTTATTTTTGACAATGATTTAAACGAAATTTTTTTAACACCTTTCTTGTCACCTTTACCGGACCAAGTCATTTTTGATAGCAGCTCTCTACTGAACATATTATTTATAATTTCCTGTATAACGTCTCCACCGCATGCATTGCCCAAATCTTTGCCAATCACTTTGAGAACATTGTACTGAAAAATGTAAATAAACCAATTAATTTAGTACTTCAAAAAATGCGTTTACAAACATACCACTTGATCATAAAACTGCTTTTGCTCCAACTTTTTGTCAAATATTTCGACTTCATTTTCATTTGATAGCGGTAGTCCCACTTTGGTTAAATATTCTTCATCCACAGTACCAATATCTTGTATTTCAGAGTACTGATTGCATTGAGCAAGCTTGATTTCCATAGCAATTGTGGTTTTCTGCAGAACTTTCACATCCGTGGATAGTTCTGTAATCTTTTGAAGGAGAATTAATTCTCCAGGTGTTAGCTGTGATTCAATATTTTGTTTTTCATTTTGAGGTATTATTCCTTTGTCGATAGCAACATTTTGCGAATCAAGCGAACTTGCAGGAGCACCGTTATTGTTTTTCTCGATATTACTTTTATTTGAACTGTTGATTTGGTCGAATAAATTATCGTCATTTATCTCAGTCTCAATTTGACCATAGATTTCTGTTGATTTTCGATCTCTTTTTGGTTTGCCACTGATATATTCAGCATTCGGCCTTTTTGACGGTATTGGATTTGGTATAGGTTTTTGTAACTTGGCATCATCTTTTGATGCATTTTCTGTTACTTTTCCATAGAGAACTAATCCTTCAGGTGTTGGCTGT